GAAGGCGCCATGGATTAAAAGTTTCTACATTGCCGACGATGGTGATACATACATTTACCCAGGGTGACTAGATTTATTTGAAAATCAATAAATAAATTGAATAATGCGTAGGAATGCTGCAAAACTGCCTGTAATTGCCAATTAATGATTAAAAGTGTCTTATTAAATTGCAAATCACAAATCATGCAGTCTCTGGGATGCACTAATTTTCCATTGCTTTGTTTTCACCATATCATACTTGAATTCATATCAAATAAATAAATTAAATGGGTTTGAAATGCACAAACCTTACCTTTCATAGTCAGGACAATGTAGTTCTTGGTGGAACTCGGCAGCGAGGCGAGGAGAGATTAGAGAAAGACCAAAAGTACTATGACGACATCATGAGGCGATGTTGTAATCTAGTTCCTTCACTCAAACACGCGGAGATCGAGCGTACCTGGGTAGGACTGAGACCTTGGAGATCGGGAGGGGTACGACTGGAAGTGGAGACCATCCCTATCAGAGGCAGGCCTGTTCCTGTAGGTGACAAGTATATACGTCTACATTAACTTCCGTCTGAAATGCTGTTAGCACCTATATTTTTCTTAAACTTCTTTTGGATATTTCGTTAATAATTGTAAAACTTTACTTACCTGATGATTCAATGTAAATTTTTTTTTACTGCAGGTGGTGCATAATTACGGACATGGATCAGATGGTGTCTGTCTAAGCTGGGGGTGTGGAGTACATGCAGCATGTCTTGTTAAACAGCAGCTTAATCAACAGAATGCTCATCAGAAACTCTCCAAGTTATGAAACAAGGAATCAAACCAAGTCCAAATACCGGGTATTTAATTATCCAGTTGTTGATGATTATATCAGAATTATGCTGAATGTATCACTGATGTTTTACTTAAGAATCAAGATTGCTTTTTTCCCTCATAAAACTTATAAAACTATGCAATTTTTTTTTTAACTATAGGCAATTTTTCCCAAAATTGACGTTTTTTACTTTATGACTGCGTATAAACCTGAAGTTGAATAACTGTTTATCAAATCTGAAAAACTGTTAAATAAATATCCAAATACTGAATAATTCATACCGAATAAAAAGAGCGAAGGCAGATTTGACTGGCATTTGAAAGAAATCTAGAAACTTTTGACAAGTGAACAATTTTCTAATCTATTGGGTTCCTGTGAAACAAATATTTTGAGTTTTATAATAAATTATTTATGATCACTGACGCAAGTGTATTTTAGAGCCTTGAAAATATAAATGTGTATTTTATGATAAAGGAATTCTATGAATTCTGTACTAATTTATAATTATCATCTGGACTTCCAGATTTTGGATAAATTTTAAGACGTTTATAGTATCTATGCATACTAGTATATTATCAGCTTAAAAGCAATGTTTTACATATTATGTTATTAAAACTTATTGTGTGACTGTACAAAGTGTAATTTATAGGAAGTATTTGATTCACATGTTAATTAAATAACAGACCCTAACAGGAGATTTATTTTATACTGTATATGCATTCAATCAAAAGCAAAAATAACCCTGTAACAATAGCAAAAAAAAAAAAAAAAGCAGATGGTACTGTCGGAAAATAAATGGCAGAAAAACAAGAAGGCCAATATTTAGATCCCCTAAATTGGTTTTGCTGATTAGAAACATATATATGTAGCACTGTCTCACACATTGGTAATATCTGATAATTATTTTAGTCAATAAAACTTATCAATTTCTAAACAGTTAGTTTTGCATTTGTTTTATTGATATCGAAAGCATTTTGCAACTACTGTGAAAGAAGATAACAATACTCTGCAGACATCAGCGAAATCAGTAATACAGAAGTTCTACTCTCTACAGTGAAACCAGGCTTAAAACACAAAACAATACTGAAAGTAGAACTAACAAATACTGAAAGTAGAACTAACAACAACATTTTAACCATAGTCATAAACAAAGATCTTGTAAGTTAATGCCTTTTTTGACATGTCAATCCTTTTATGACATGTTAATTCTTCTTGCACGAATTCACAACCTATGTAGATATTGTCTCTATGGAAAGCCACAGACTTCAATTGCATTACAGTAATACTATACAGTCTTCCATGTTGATGTTGAATTGCGATCACTTGTAGTTGAATTTCACCTTCACAAGATACTTCATTTTGATCTGTTTGGTGTCATACACTATGAATTCATTGTAATTCAGTGTGTAACCATTAGGATTTTTCACATTCGTGTTCTTACTCTTTCCTAGAGGAACAATCGTCCCATCAGGCCTGAAATGAAAGTAAACATTCTCAGACTTTCAAAAAGGTTTAAGAAAATAGTTTACACTAAATATTTAGCAAATTAAGAAAGATGTCATGGTATTGAGAATAAAAGGCTGTTAAATCACACTCCCCAAAGCAAATTTACTCTTACAGACATGAAAAATCTGGTAACACAGAAAGGCCTTTTCTGAGGATAGACTCAGAATACCCATGTATCAAACTTTACAATCAAAGGAAAACAAACAGAGGCCCATGGGTCACATTGCTCACAACTGTCGACATTCTCTTTCTGATAATTTGTACATGCATCCTCTTTTTTTCAATATGGTACACGTACAGAATAGATGGACTTTGAATGTATTATTTGGGTTGCAGCCACCTCTCTGTTTCTCCTTACTAATGATAAAAAGCACACACACACAGTCCTTGTGGTATATATCTATACTTACTTTTCAGTCTAAGATTAATTCAGACTAAATTCTGTTGTCAAATTACAAGCTATCTCATACTCAGAGAATTGTATTTTAATCTGTATCTAAAATCACATGTAAATCTCCATATTGTTGTTAGAGTATAAGCTACGTGTACATGTGTGCCATACTTTCATTATTTATACTGATGTTAAGCTCTGTATTGCTTCGAGATAACAACCTTTGTCATACTTACAGAGTTTTATGTTTAGTGGGGTCTGGGGCCACGGCTCCCAAGCCTTTCACACTGTGTTTTCCTGGGGGTAATTTATCTGCTTTGTAGTCTGCTGCCAGTAAATCATTTGTGGTTCCCAGGGACACCTGATCAAAGGAAAAGGGACGCGCCATTAAGAAATTAGTAAGAAAATATATTACTAGAATTATCATATAGAAAGGAGCTAATAAATGAAAAATATTATTTAAGATTTATACTAATATATGGAAATAACTTTTAGAACAGAAATACACTGTACTTGCTTTGGGTAAAACACCATTAAATATTTGAAAATACATTTTACTTGATTTTTTTTATTGGGTGTATTATAATGAAAAGTATGTAGAGGAAATAATTATCATACCTCACACAGGAGTAATAAACCAATGTTTTTAGATCTTGTTGTAAAACAGTAGTTGGCACTTTTACTTGACATATCAGCAAAGTACACACCTTTTCCAAACTACAATAGAATACACTAGTTAGTGTCTATTCACTTCATATACAGTAAAACTCGTTTAGTACGAACACGGATATAGCGAATTCACAGATATAGCGAAGTTTTTCTGGGTCCCCGGCAAAATTCTTAACAAATCTTTGTAAAATTTTACGGTTATAACGAACTCTGATATAACGAATTTACGGATATAGCGAACTGATTTTGAGTCCCGTTGAGGTTAAATATAATGAAATTTGCATCTTTTATAACGAACTTTCCAAGATTATAAAAAATTTGATAAATTGAACTGATTTTATTTCCTTTTAGCATTTGTATATAAAATTCATAATAAAACCTTAGTTATCGAAGATATGTTCTGTAATACTCGCTTCCTTAACATATTTGGTAGTAATACCTGAAGGAAAACATGCATATTGCAAATTTGCTATAATGGTTATACGAATTCGTTATACGGATATAACGAATTATGGATATAGCGAATTAAATTCACAGGTCCCCAGGACTTTGTTATAACCGAGTTTTACTGTATAATATAAATGTATCATATTGGCAACTTGTCTTCCCAGTCTGCTGAAAGCACATACTTTACAAGGATAAAGTTTGAAAAAGAAATGCTAAGCAATTAAAGTTAACATACTGACATTTGAAAAAGGAAATGAAAAATCGTCATCAAAATGTAAAAAATACACTGTAGTAAAATTTTTACCATGTAACCTGTAACAGGGGCCTCGGGAGGGGCAATTCTCAGACCTTTAGAGAGGATGCCAACCCAGTTAGTTAAACGAGAACCATGCCATAACAGCATTCTACAAAATTATATAAAAATAGAAAGAAATGCAGTTTATTCACCCTTCAATCCCTGACATCAGGCCTCAAGACCATAAACTGAGAACAGACATAAGTCAAAATTTAGATTTTTGATATTTAATATGAGTATCATTTCTAAAACAAATTTGCTTAAAAATTTGCAGTTCTGTATATTATTTTTATTCAAAGATATAGTGAAAAATTCTTATCATTATCAAAATTATGGAAAAGTTATTTTGTTTTGACCATAAACTGAAAATAGACTCATAAGTCAAAATTTTGATTCTTAATAACTTTAGTTTTATTTAACATCATGTTCTTAAAAATTTGCAGTTAAGTATAATATTTAAATCCAAACAAATGAGGAAAATTGAGTTTCATTTTCAGATGTTTTTCAAGTTATTTTGATTTGAAATTTTGACTTAATTAAGTCTCTTCTCAGTTTATAGTCATGGGGCCACTGATTACAAGTGGTCATTTTCTTACTTGTTGCTGTGGTCAACAAACTGTTTTGCTTCATTTTCTTTCTCAACTTCAAACACATCTTCAATTTGCATTTTATACTGGTTGTGTGTAGCTGCATGAGTATTCTGAAGATATTCATTTATCATCTGAAAAGAGAAACACTTCTTCTAAATCCTCAGGAACTAGATTTAGCTGTGTCTGGATTTCAAACATTAGCCTAGTATTCCACACTCTTATTGTCCAAGGATACTTCTAGTTTAATGTGAAGCAATATATTCCATTGTCAAAAAATACCATCTTTGATTATTTGAGGTATTAACATGTGTAGGTAATATACTGTATGTGTACTTAAAAAAGCGGGCTTCATATTTTAGCGGCTTTGGTGCAGACACAGATGCGATAATTCATGAATACCGCTAAGTATTCATAAATATAATACACAGCACGGACATCTGTAGCACTAATTCATGATTACATCATTCACAACTCTATACTCAGTGATTACGCTAAAATTTGAATATGCCATTTTATGTACATGTACAGTATGTATTTTTAATATTCAGAAGAATGTTATTGTATACTAGAAATTCTAATCCTGTTTGCTGTTGCTCTTTTTACCCTACTTGTAGATGGACAAATTTAAAACAGGACAAATTCAAAGAACAGGGTATAATTTTTGAAATGGAACTGTGAATGAGCGCATTTAAATTGGAACAAAATTGTTTGCAAGAGTGAAAGGGCTAAATTAACATGGGGTGGAAATTAAACAACCCTGTATACAGAATGTAATATGGAAATTGCTTGTGTTACAGGAAAGGAGAAAATGTATGGCTGGACCAGGAATCGAACCTGGGACCCCTGCATCTCTAGTCAGGTGCTCTACCAACTGAGCTATCCAAGCCGATATCCACGGCCAAAACCATTACATTACTTCCTCCTTAAATTGTCTTCGCCTTCGAAGACACAACCCAAGTTCTTATTATCCCCTGGAAGGACTTTAACCTGCAATTCAAAGGGTGGTGAACAGCACCAAATCTGTAGCAGGAAAGGAGAAAATGTATGGCTGGACCAGGAATCGAACCCGGGACCCCTGCATATCTAGTCAGGTGCTCTACCAACTGAGCTATCCAGGCCGATATCCATGGCCCAAATCATTGCACTAGCATAAAACTCTTGTAATCTTTATGTGTTCAACATTCTATAATAGAGGCAAATTTTAAATAATATTTGTTATACTTTGAATTCGTCAGCTGATTTATCCATGGCTTGCAGTTCACACTTCAGGGCATGGTAATGTCTGTCTACTGGATTCTCGGAGTAATCTCCACTCTTCAGAGTTTTCATGGCAATCTCAATGTCTTCCAAAGACTGTAAAAATGAAAAGAAAATAATTCATTAAAGCAAAATAAGCACAAACTTACTCTAGCTGTGATACAATGTACTAAATCCAAAATGGCAAATCAGCAAACACTAACATACATACCGTATATCCATTTTTTTCATGTGTTGGAAATTTTGCGAAAAAGAGGTAGATTAATAGTACAGTTTTTATTTTGTTATTTTATTTTAATTTTACGTTTGAAGATTTTTTTAATTTAAAATGGTAACGTTTTTATGTCACATTATAGCTGACATAATTTTTCGTGTCTTATAATTTCCGAATTAAAAATGATCGCCAAAAAAGCAAAAAATAGATCATCGCGAAAAAAACTGGATAAACGGTACTTTGTGATTTAATGTACGAAATTGCAGTGATTATAGATCTATCACAACCATAAATACTGGTAATAAAACACATTTTCTCTATTTAAACACTAGATGCTGTGGAAAGTCTAAAGTTAATTTTCGTCTCACCTCCAAGAGTTGTAGCTTTGCCTTCACCGTTTCCTTGTCTCTGATGACTGGGGGTGCTCTCATGCTGCAAAGTTTACACAATAATTCTAGCTCAATATTCACATCTAACAGGGACATCAAATACGCGTAATAAGGTAGGCTAAAAAAATTTACATCCAAAACAAATATTTTTGAAGTAACCTAAGCAAAACTATAAG